CTGTCAGAAATGCCTAATATAACTTCGCATTTGGAGGCGACATAATATTTATTTCTTTATTTAAACTCATTATAGCTGCCCAGCTCCAAGGATTCTGGGCGGTGTACAAAACCAAAAAAACAAAACATAAAAGCACATGGACTGCCAGGACCAAAGCATTCTTAAAAGCGACACGAGTCCCAACAGGGCCCCCCAAACACCAGGCCTGGGGCCAAAGTCAAGTTTTATGATTGTGAGGAAAATATACCGTTGGGTGACAGAAGCAAGTTTGTAGAGGCCTCAGCCTTAATAAGATGGAAACCTAAAGGAATGTGCAGCACCCCTGGAGCTGGTGTGAACTACCGAGGCATCTGTCTTGAAGGAGGATGTGTTCTTCCTGGCATTTGGCACCTTGAACTGATTTGTTTCTTCTTCTCAGAAAGGTTATTGTTTTCCTTGTAGATAACAGAGGCAGAAAGTAGCTTGAGAGATATTGCTTGTTTAGGTATGCCTACATCATCATATGAATATGTATGCAGATGCGCTCTTTTTCCCTTCCCCTTTCTTGTAGAACTGTACAAATATCAGGTCACCCATTTTGCCTACAGGGGAGTGTCTCCCACTAACCCCTGGTGGGGTCCCCCTCCAGTACTTACTGCCTAATAACCACTGCAGTGAAGCCTTGGTTATTGTGCGTGAGTCCTGCGTTTTGATTCCACAAGATCTTTCTGGAACCCCCCTATCAATTCCTCTTGTGTTTCCTTAGAGGTTGCTTGTAAGAGTAGGGCAATATCTGGGTTTAAAATCTGTCTTGCAAAAATCTGGACAGGCAGTAGACGCCACAAAGCGGGATTTTGTAGCCGCCAACCGGCCGTCCGGATTTCTGCAGCTTAGATCCGATAAACGGTCAGTACCGCAGAATGCGATGCAACTCCCCGTCCCGTTATTTCCGTGGCGGCTTTCTTCGAGGAATCCCGCAATGACAGCCCCATTTCCGGTTCCAGACTGCTCCTACTCAGCCTCCAGACTTACTTTCCGAAAGTATGGAATAAAATGTGGGACCTAATCACTGAAACATTTAAGGATCAAGACGCGTTAAAGAGTTTTTTGCTTGCATTAGTCGCTTAAGCCAACGCTACGGTTTTTACGCGATGGTATTGCAGATTGATAGCAAGAACAGCCCACGCGACCAGACTGATCTGGAAAGGCTATTATTTAAGTCAGCGGGGAGGAAACTTTTCAGCTTTCCTTCTGGTCGGCTCCCCGCCGCCAATGACTTGAGAATCTCACGGGCGGGGGAATCCCCCGACTCCTTTTTACGAGTTTCAATAGGAGTTCCGTGGGAGTTATTTCTTCCCTTGGCGCCACGTAAAAGGTCAGAAGGACCTTTCAGGGCTTCAGGCGTTAGGAAGCGCGACGAGCTCTTTCGTGACTTTGTGAGCGGCTCTGAAAAGAGCCTTGGGGGGTGCGCGGTCTGGAGAGGCTCATTTTGCCTTGACCTTGTGGCTCTCGGTTTTCTTGGGCAGCAGGACGGCCTGGATGTT